TTGAATGCTGATCACTTTACAATTTAGTCAAAAAATAACCATTATCACTGTTAATTGTAATTAAACATTTATCTGGATTCCATGCTAGCTGACAACATCAGCTGAGTGTTTAGGTGTTCAGCCTTGTTGTCCTCCCTACTGTTACTAGAAATTTTGGTGCTGGGATTCTGCTCATATCTTTAGACCCAACACACTTCTCAATGAGAAATCCTGCTTTAGGAGGTGAGAAATCGTCATCTTTCGAAATGGAGAAGTAAAGACATTGATGATCTTTAGGTATCTTCAGGAATTGTGTGGCTTACCAAAGCAGGTAAATATGAGTCATTCCCTCCAAGGGGTCTGCCTAGGGTTATAGCATAGGCATTTGACCTATTTATTAATATTTTAGTTAAAACTTTCAGATAATTTAAATATTTTTCTCCCTCTATTGTCAAAAAATGAAAACTTTGTAGACAAAGGAGTCAGTCAGACTTGCATTTTAAATTACAGGAACTAAACTACTCATGGGATACACAAAGCATAGCTGAAGTTTCAGTAAGTGCAAACACAATATCTAGCTGGTTCTTATTTTGCCCATCAGAAATGAATCAAAACTCTGGAGGAAGGAAATAGAGTTTAAGTCTGAAAACTTTGTCCTTAACCTTTTTTTTCCCTTTCATTTTACTAGGAGTGGAAAATTAGGAATATGTCAGAGTGCACTTAGAAGATTGTGGAATAATGATAATTTACTGTGGTTTCTGCCACAGAACTCCTGTTAAGAGTATTCCTGTGTTATGTCTTGCTAGTCTTTATTTCCTTTTGTATTCCCAATAAAAATTATGTTCTGGCTAATGTCTGTTTTTGGGAGCGCTAGCTGTAAATTAACTTACAGAAGAGATGATGAGAAGCTTTTCTTAATTGCTTTTCCAAATTTGAATTATAAATGAATAGATCTATTAGTAATAATTGAATCAATTTTTTGGATATTAATTGCTTCCTTAGAATATGAGAAGAACAAATCCATATTCATCTATAAAAGTCCCTAATTACATTCCGTAATTTTTCAGCAGAGCAACTTATTTGTCATTTACAGTATAAGTTCTTAGAGAAATAATAGATGTTTAAAAGCATTATATACTTTGGAAGTGCATTTTGTAACAGTGATATTTTTCTATTTGTTGGAATTTAATTAACATGACATTATTGTAGCCAGATATATGGACACATGGCATATAGGCAAATAACCTATTGCAAGCTTAGTGTCCTGAATATTAAAAGCTATGTAAAGCTGAACATTATCAAGTTGTTAAAGCTAAGATCAGACCTGCATCTTTAGAAGCTGTTTGTATGACATTCTAGGAATTCAGCTGATACAGTAATAAAGAGATGATTTCTGGCAAGCCTTAATAAAGACGTGATTTCTGACAAACCTTACATAACTATATTGCTCATGTCTAGAGTCTCCTCACCATAGTAGAAGCCTTCACCAATTTTCAATAGCAGTGTGATTGAGCTGTACAGTCAATGTTTTCACTTAAATTATGGGGAAAAAAATGCCCTAACTTTCATAATTATGACAATATTTTAGTAAATGTGAATTCGATAAAAAATCAGATTGATGCCTATTTTGTGCTTAAGACAATAGCTCTGGAAATACATCAATCCCACAGTGGGATTTGTCACTTGTTATGTTTTTGGTGTGAAAATTGTACTGTTTCAAAGATGCTTATTTTAGCAGAAATGGAAAGAAATATGCGGTGTCATCAGTGCAAGGCTACGTACCATAAGTGAGCTGACATAAAGCAGCCACATTTTGTCAAGGATAGCTAGGAGATGTATTAAAGAAGTAAAGACTTAATGCCATGTATTTCCTGATATAACTGAGTTACATGCTTAGAGGAAATCAATGGTACTTTTTCTGGAATAAATTTATTCATTTTCATCATAGTTTAAGATCAGACCATAGTTTAAGTCAGCCATGTCCCTCCACTGTAAGGGGAGTCCAGTTCTTCCCCAGCATGAAGAACTTCAGACTATGGTTTTGAAAAATGTCTTTCTTGTGGTTTAGCCTTTATTTCCCGTGAAAATTGTCCATTGGTCAGTTCCAAGTATCAAGTAAAACTGGCTTTAAAAAAAGGGCAAGTAATTTCCCTGCTTTTATAAATATCTAATTATTTTAGTCCTTTCAAAGCTGGGAAAATAGCTAATGCAATCCGTAAGTTTGCCATTTTTAAAAAACAGGTTAAAAATAAAAACAGAAGATCATGCAAAGTAGATTAGTAAAATGTACATACTATGTACTTTATAGCATGGGGTTGACTACAGCATGTGATACTCAAAGAAAAAAAAAAGAGAAAGAAGTGCTTTTTACATCTTCTATCAACATTTCTTTCTGTGTTTTTGTCCTCTGTGTTGCTAAGTGTTAGTCCAGGAAGCCACTGACCCTTCAGTTAATTAACTTTTTTGCCTTCCAAAAATCTGCATTTTTGTATCAGTGGTTTATTTGGTCTCTCCCTTGCTGTTATAAGATGGTTTCACAACAAAAATATTGGAAAAAGGGAGGCCACGTGACACAGATAAGATGAGGAACTTCTGTAGGGAGTTTGTGGCTGAGAGAGAACAAGTCCATCAGGTCAGAGAGTGATAATGTGAGTTAGTGTCATTGGTAAGACCATGAATGTTGAGCATGCCTTTGAATATAAAGATGGTCTTGTGATTTGGGCACCTGTGGCTCTGGGGGCTTACTCACCCTTCTTAGATAGTAGCCCCAGACACAGTCCCATAGCCATTCTTGCTATGTAATGATTATATACCTCACCTGAGGTGATCAAAAGTTACATGCAGGACATGATAACCATTGAGGCAGCAAATACTAAAAGATAACATTGGTTCTGTAAGAACTGATTGTGTGTCCTGGTTTCCATTTGACCTTCATATTGTCCTAAAGGCAAAGTATGAAAGTACCATCGCTTACTTGCAAAGGTGGGTTCTGGCTGTAACATTTTGCCAAAATGTAACATATTACCAAAACCATGTTTTATGGCTTGCTAAATTTTGATGTAATTGTCAAAACACACCTTCAGAGTTCCAAGAACTTGGGAAAAGAAATAACCTTTTCAATGGGAATGGTTTCATGATCTCCCCCATTCACCCTTTTTCCTGAAACCTGTTTTCTGCTTGATATTGAACTCAGCATCCTTATATGATTCCAGATTTCTCTTCCTTATGTTTTTTTTATTTCATTGACCTATTCACTTTTGCAAAGCAGTTACCTGAAGATAGGCCATATTCCAGTATTGCTACCCTAGTGTCTCCAACCAGGGAACATTTGGGGAAGAGGTACTTGGACAAGTAACTTAAGTGATTATCTCTTCAGTTTTACTAAGGGCTGGCATTACATTCTGCCTGACTTTAAGCAGAGGAAGTATTTGATGTGGAATCTAAAGTAAATTGGAGGAGGATACTGAATATACTCTCATTAATTTTGACTCCAACTCTGTTATCCTAGTTCAGTAATTTTTTTTGCTGTACTTGCTTCCTATTTGTATAGAGTTGTTGTAATTGGATTTATTCTGGATTACTTGTTGTGTTTTTATGGCTGACTTGCTGTAGAAGTAAAAGGAAGAATACATCTTTTCATATGTCTTATGCTGTAATTAACAAAATGCTACTTTTCTGTCTGCATTGAATTATTACCGTATTAATTATTCCATCACTTTTCTGCTCTGTTGATAATCTTGTGTATTTGTTTTGCTCAGCTGAATATATTATTAAGAGGAAAATAAAACTAAATATAGTCACTGCTCAGACTATATTTAATCATACTTAGCACTGCAACGTCATGCATCAAAACTGCAGCTAATGATCAACTTGGTTCTTGTTTTCTGGGTACTTGCACAGTTAGCGGTCTTATGTTAGTATCCTCTGGCAGGTCAAATAAAGATGTGATTAGAAGCTTACTTTTGATAATGAAGAATAGAAGAAACAACATTTTTGTTCAGAAAATGTATATGCAAATAAATGCTCTCAGGCACATGGTGTGATTCTTAGGGTGCAGGGATAAAAGTCAATGATCCTTGTGGGTCCCTTCCAACTCAGAATGTTCTGTGATTCTGTGATATTTTATAAGCAGATGTAAAAAATGGGAAATTTCTGAAATATAACTGAATACTGGGCAGTAACATGCTAAAGTGAAGAACATAGGGAAACAGAATTCTAATTGTTTATAGCTTTCTTCCTTGATAAAAAAAGGATTCTGATAGGGATAAAAAAAATAGTGTTGGAATATATAGATCTACCTGAAAGACACCGTGGAGATGGGAGAAGGCAGAAGTTGATCGTTTCTAGTGAGAGCTTAAATTGGCAGATGCTTTTCTATATTACAGTCATGTAGGCATGGCTACTCAAGAAGAATGCAAATTTAGTAATAAGCAACAAACAAAATTATTACACTCTTTTAGTACAGCCAAAAATCACTATTTTTTAGCTGGAATTGTACTTGAAAAATGAGTGTGGAGGATTACTAAAGGACCAGCTACAAAAAGAACCCCCCTAAAACTCACAAAGCAGAAATAGAGGCCTAGAAGCAAGTACAATTTATATATAAAGACACAGTCATACCAATCACTTACCTGCATATTTTACTTTTACTAAAATCTCATCTGAGTAATAATTTCTCAGTAAATTCAGTGACACTGTTCACCACTTAATGCTGAGTAGGAAGAACCCAGTTGTATCTTAGTAAACAGTTAAGGGAAAATGCTTTGAAGTTGGAAATACCAGTGTTTGAGGATTACTGTCAGAGAGTGGCAATTGTTAAAAGAATATAGCAGTGAGTAGTTTCTTACCAATACAACAGCTGCATTTTTTTCCTGGTGACAGTCAGCTGCTTGCAGTGCAGCATGCTGTACAAGCAGCAGGCCAACCCCCTCCACAACCTTGGTAGGTTTTTTGTGCGGTGTTTCTTGTTTAAATTGCATGTTTCTAGATAATTGTTAACAAATTTCTAAAACTATTTTTAGCTTTAGATCCGGCTAAAGATCCATGTTTGAAGATGAAATGTAGTCGCCATAAAGTCTGTGTTGCACAGGATCAACAAACTGCTGTTTGCATTAGTCACCGAAGGCTTACGCACAGGTAAATACTTCAAAAGTTAATCCTGTAGACATTTTTTATAGTGTTCATGACTGACTTTTAAACCATAAATCCATTATAATTAGTTTAGTTACTTAAACACATATAAGAAGAGTAGAGGTGGATTTTAGGAGTAATTATCTATGCATAGTTTGTTTATAATGTTTAATATTTGATTTTTTCAATAGGCTGGTAAACTAGAAGGGGTACATATTTAAATATTGCAAGCGTCTGGTACAAATACATTTAGGGAAATACCCACTGTGCCAGTAGCAAAATAAAGTGATTATGATAATGTCCTGCTGCTGTACATTACTTTGACATCATCACTTCTTATACAAAGCTAGAGAACTCAAAACTGCCTCTTAAAGTCTAGGTAGTAGCCTGATACAGTGCAAGTTGTTTGAGGCTGGGGTTTTTTCCCCCCTTTTTTCTCTTCATCTGTGCATTCCAATTTTATTTGCATACTGGCCTGGTTAAATATAAGGAGAAAATACGTGATAAATTAATATACTTTTGGAGCTTTATCTGGGGCAGAAATACAAATATGTAGGGCCTGAACCGTACATTTAGTTGTGTCATGATTTTTGTGTGCTGAGAAGATGGAGTCAAGTTGCACTTTGGCTTGAGATTATTAGGTTTTTTTGCACTTCCTTGTGCCAAATGAGACATAGGAGAATGGCTAAATTTCGATAACTTGATTTAACTGTCTGCTACAGTGCTCAGTAGGGGCTGAAAAGATGTAAAGGAAATAAAAGACTTCCTTGTCTGTTGGAAGAGGATTATTTCAAGTACAGTTTCATCAATGATGTAAGAAATGTTGTTCTGAGGGTCTAGTTATGTTAAATACATCCATCTGGAACTTTTCAAACAAGCAAGATAGTACATAATCAAAGGAAAAGTTTAAAGTGTTCTTAATCTGCAGCTGAAGTTAATAACAAAAAACTTGACAGTATTTGCAGAGTTATACTGTTTATATTAAACAATCTCAGTGTAGAACTAGGCATTTTAGTTTGATAAAATACCATATAAGTTGCAAGAACTATCAGACAAAGCTAGGTAGTCTAATTTCAACTGCACGCAAAGTGTCAGGAGTATGTCAGTGTTAACTGTCCAAGAAAACACAATAATTTGAAATTTCTAAGAGTCATTGAAAACAGTGGAAAAAACTGACATCTCCAAGTTAAGTATACATGCAATAGATGAGGACTGAAAACTTTTTTAGCTTAGATGAAGGTATGTACTGTGGTTGCATTAAGAAACTTTTTGACATCAGTCTTCATCCCTGTATTATTCCTCCCACAGTTCTTGGTACTCTTTTAGAAAGGTAGTATTTTAAGAGGTAAAACTCGTCTGAATATAATACAGTAGATAATGTGAAACTTTGGAATGGCACCAACTTGGTGATTGTAAAAAACACTGTAAGTCTAGTCTTGTAAGCTAGATGAAGCCAAGAGAGGGATTTCCCAAGCTTAGATCTTCCTGTTCCTCCAGTTTATCACATACAAGGAGAAATAATTTTTTTTGTTCTTTCTTTCTAAAAATGTTTTCTTCATGCAGTCTCTGACCTTACTGTATATGGTGGGATAAGAGTATGAATAGCATATACACAAGCAGTCATGTCTGCTGGGTCTGTTTACCGCTATTAATTTCTTTAGCCCAACATGTTATTCCTTTGCTGGTATCTATAATTTGTATATTGATTTTCAACAGAGCCATCTGTTTTTCAGAGTTCCCAAAGGACTACTCCACTCTTTATAAGTCTTGATAAAAATTTGATAAGAATGGTTATATTATCAACTGTCCAGTTATATTAAGTGCCTGTATCCATTTCTAGCATATCAGTTGTGCACAATCTGTTGGGAATAAATATTTGCAAAATATAATCCCAGTAATTTTTCCTTTTTGCTTAGTTTGTGTGTGTGCACACGTGGTGTTCTTCAAAGACTGGATAATGTAAATAAGTAAGAAAAGACAGCTGGAGGTGTTTTCTGGAAAAACAGTTGAGACCTTTTTGATGAATTACTGAGAACTCTTCATGGAAAAGAACTTGCCCGTAGATTTCAATTTGGACATATTTGCTGTATAGATCCATAGATGTTCCAGAGATTATTCCCAAGACTCTTGTGCAGAAAAAGTATTTTTAAGCCTGTGAATTGATACAGTGTCAAAGACGATCCTCAAGAGGCAGACAGGGAAGAGTAGACTTTGCATACCTCCAAGATAAATAAAAAGTTTATGGGCACCTTTGAACTACCCTGGAGAAAGAAGCATGAAGTACAGTTACAGCTGAATAGATTTTTCTGGGCTGTCATCAAGTTGAAATGCTCAGATTTATAGTAAAATTATCTATTATTAGTAGCAGCATTCCCAAGCAGTCCTGTTTCCTGGTTCATAAACTTCTGTATATAAATTCTGTTACCTTTTTTAGGTAATTGCATAAATACAGAGGTTGCTAACGAGTGATCTCTGATAATTGTATCAAGTGGAGAAATCAATTTAGTAATTTCTTTTGTTGTTTGTAAGAAATCGACTTGCAGAAAAAAACAGGTGGGCGTAGACATTGTTATTCAGTCCGTGCTCCCAGGTGTTCTTATCTGTACAGTACAATCTCCAAACTATTGTAGCCCTATATGGATTGCTGAGGGCACTTCAGTACCACATAGTGAAGCATGGGTGGATGTCCCAGCCATCTGCAAGGCTGTTAGTGACATGATATGACAAGGTCCCAGTAGGATTAATTAATGTGAACAGCACACTTTAGTGATGATTCTGCTTGTGCTTTCAGAACTATTAACCTTTTTATTAGCTTGAGGATCTCAGCACTGTGATCTTGCTGCAGTGTGCTTGCCTTTGAATGGTTTCAAAACTAGCTACTACATATCACTGCCCTTTTCATGGAGTTATGTGGCAGACAAGCCTATGGTTTTGCTGTTTCCTCAGTTTCCATGACAGCTGAGATCATGGTCTTCCCTCAGTTTAATCTCAAGGCTCATTTCCTTTTCTGGTAGACTGCCAAGATGGCAAGTTCTCTTCTAGCTCACTTCTGCGGTTCCATAGCATTCCCAGACAAGAGCTTCCTTTATATACTGTCCTGGAAAGACTGAATAGTATTTGACAAAAAGGTGAAATAAGTATTGTGGATCATTGGTCATGAGAGTAGTTTGGAGTACCAGAGCTTTAGAAATTATGGGGGGCATGCTTAAAGGCGGGAGATTTTTTTTTGGTAGCAGATAGCATCTCTGCTGGCTGAAAGCTGTGTTCTGTGTGCTACCCTCTTAGTACTCTTCTTTCATCCTATGAAAGAAAGAAGATGTACTTGAGGAGGGGAAAACATGCAGAATGTATATATAAATGTTATTTATCCAAGTACTTCCATGTGGATTGCTGTGGGAAAGGAGTAGCTGCCTGCACTAGATTGTATCATAAACAGGTAATTCAAAGTATGGTGTAAAATAGAATTTTTCTTTGCTTCTTTTAAATTTGGGAGTTTGTCATCAACTTTTCCTTTGGCTAAATGGTGTTTTTCTATCCCTTTGTGCTTTCCAGTTTATTGGTTAAGTGATAGGCTTTATGGGGGGAAAAAACCTGTAAAGACTCTACATGAAACAGTGAAATGCTTTGGAGTATACCTCATTCAAATACTGATACAACTTGTAGAATATTAGAAAACTAATACTGGGATATGTTGATGTGAATGTTATGGTCACAGGCAGAATTTTCATGATACTAAGAGAAATTGTCTACTTTTTGTATATGCAGAGCAACAGGTGGTAAAGATAAATCCTTGAATCTTCATGTACTTCTTGTTACCATTTTGAGCAAGGAAAGAAGGGATATGTGCTGACACCACAACATGTAGGAGCTCATTAGGGCCATGGAAGATGGTAGCTAAGCAGGCTTAGGAAAGTGGAAAAGTTAATTCAACAGCAAGGTATCACAGATTTTAAGGTCCTGATGAATAGTGTGTTAACCTTCTTTTAGATTTGAAACAGACAATTATAATATTAATTGACACATACTGTAATTTTCAATAAGACTAATATTCTGTGAATCGTAGGCTACTGTATGAAACAAAGCAGTGTATAGGTGAAGTTCTAATTAAGTTCTGAAGATGAAGTAGTTGTGAAACAGTTTTGAGACAAAGATCGTGCTCCAGGGAAAGCCAAGCACGTTTGATATATTAGAACCCAGTGACTAATATTGTACTTAGTGAACCTAGTGGAATCTGAGAAAACAGTCTCTTTTTCTTCTTCTGTAAGTACAAAAAAAGTACTGCATAAAATTGATTTGATACCTGAAATCAGTCAATCCTTAGAGGCATTAAATTATTCAATGCATTAAAGGTGTGTGGACTTTTTCTAGGCACATGTAGATCTGTCTCTTTTAGGAATTCCCCACCCTACCCCCATTGTGAAGGTCCTGCTGTGCTCTTATGACTTTATGTAAAATGTGCCGATCAACAATACAGTTTCCTGCTACAGCAGAAATAGATTGCATTTGTGTCTGCCATGTTATATCCACAGCATGTTAAGATGGAGTAGAAATGTTTAAAGACTTGACAGCTCTTACTTGTGTAAGGACACTGAACTTCCTTTTTCTTCCCATTGGATTTTTTACCTTCTCCAATCATTTATTCTTAGGTTTCAGAGTAGGAAGCAATTGTAACACAATTCAGGCATTTTATATCCAGGTTTTATTTCATGTATTAAGTATAGGAAATCTGTAGGGAATTAGAAACAAGGGATCATTGCTTTTGTAGAACATCTCTTCATTTATGATTTACTTTCTTTCTCTTTGCAGATTATACCTTTTATGCCTTACAGTCATTTATAGTCCTTTCTCTATCTTGTTTTTTGTACTGGTTTTTTCCTTCTTTATGATAGCAGCTTATACCTATGTCATTTTAGTAATGTAGGGAAGGTGTTCATAAGAAGAATATAATTTCCTTGTGTAGAAGTGCACATCTTTTTGGATGTTCTTTACGAGTAACTGATTCCCGG